GAGCAGGTTGAGTAAAAATTATTTAGTTATAAATTCGTTTTAGCTCTTATTTCTCTTAATATATATGTATTTAGAATTATGTGTACAGGAAAATCACATAAGCTGTCACTTTAATGCCAGGATAGCAAGTGAGGCTGTTACAGAATATTTATCATGAAAAGGATATCTTTGGTCAAGTGAGTTGAAAACCACTGCTGGATTATGTTCCATTTGTAAAATATTATAGTTTTACAATTAAATTTTAGAATAATCTCAAACACCAACATATTTGTTCCCAATATCAGAAAACTGTGCATCTGACTGGCTTTTCCTCGATATTTGTTACACAAGGGACTCTGGAATTTACCTGCTTTCCTCTGCCCTCAGACCCTGGGTGTAGCTAACATCCTCTCTTGCTGGATTCTGACAATAGAGTGGAATGTATGTCTCCATTTGTCTATTGGCTTTTTTAACCCAGGCCCACATGGCAGGTGGACACAACTTTTTTGAATGCAAAATATCTCGTTTGCTTCAAAACCTTCAACAATATTCCATTAATTGTGCAATAAGGATAAGTGTGCTGAATTATGGAATACAAATTTATGACACACACCTTCCACCCCAATCAGGTGCGATTCCTCTGTTTGATCCTTCGCAGCTGCCCTTTGGTGGACCAGGAGCCCTGGCAGCACCGTGGCTACGATTCGGGCTCGTAAACCCAAAGGCCAGTGGTTTGAACCCATTGGGGGGAGGCATCGGTTGGAGGAAGATTTAGTAATCTGTTTCCATAGCGACTGCCATCTAGACAACCCTATGGGGCACGTGGGGCAGCTGTGAGAGGGCACACAACACCAGTGACCTTTAGGTGTTCTTACCTGTTACACTGCGAACTGCAAGATCAGCACTTGGAAACCACCAGCTACCCCATGAGAGAAAGATGAAGCTTTCTAGTCTCATAAAGAATTTTTCTCTATGAAACCCACAGGGGCAGTTCTTCCCTGCCCTATAAGATCACTACGAGTCAGGATCGACATGCTGGAGTGAGTATTGTGTTTGGATAACATGAATTAAAGTTTGTACTCACCCAGCCAGGGCTGCATTTCGAATGGATCCTTTCTTTTCTTTCTTCTTCTTCTTCTTCTTTTTTTTTTTTTTTGACTTACCCCGGTGAATAAGAACTGCTTTTACTTTAAAGACATTTTTCCCAATGAAAGATCTGAGCAAAACAAAAACCAGCTAGGCAAAGTGATGGTGCTTTTACCCGCTTTCTTTTAAAGCCCCTGAAATGGAGTAGCAGCCTGAATAGGCCAGGGCCTTCACCCTGTGCTGTGTTGGTTTCCAAACCAGAGAGAAGGAAGTGGAAGGAGGAGAGTCACTTCGTGAAAAGATTCTTGATTGTCATTTCTAGTGGAAGTAGCGGCGTAGAGAGTAAATGAAGAAAAACAAAAACAAGTATCAGTGTTCCTGTTACTGTGCGGATAAACCAAACGTTATTGCTGTGAGGGTTTCAGGTCCTACATGCACAGGTCTATTGCAGACAGAGCATGTTTGAACATGCTTCTGTGATCAGAGGGTGACTGCACGCTCTCTCAGTCACCTGCGTCACTTCGACTCCTGAGAGTGCCTCAACATAAACACGAGCCCACATGAAAACTGGTTCCCAGGGGATCTACTGGGTCAGTTAAAGTCAAGGCAGAAAGATCATCTCAGAAGGCGATGGTGACTGTTTTGGTGATTTTAAGAGCGTAATTTTGATAGCTTTTTAGTGAAGGATCCAGGATTATCAAGGGGGATTATTAGGAAGAAATTTTAAGAAGATGCAAACCTGCATTGGCGAGAAAAATGCCAGGAAAGGTGTGTTTAGGCTCGTTTCTCCTACCCTGGCCCCTGAGAATGATGTTGGGAAATCTTCCCTCGTGCACCCTGATTTCATTTCGCCACTCCACACTTCTTTTTATTGTCCGCACTCAAATAACTTCTGAAAGGAAGACCCACTGAGTGCCTCAAGGATGCTAACACTGCTCTTTTGAGGTGCTGTCAATCAAAGAAGCCAGAATCCTGTGGGGAAGTATTAGAGAGAGAGATGGAAATACCATCTTTAGAAGTATATAGACCTAGATGGAGGATATGTTGTGAACTAAAAACTTCAAATTTCTCAATAAAGATTTCTGTGATTTTATAGTAATACTTTTTTTTAACTTACTCATATACGTGTTAGGGTGTATACACATATACACACACCAATAGATCTCTAAAGAAGTCCTGGTAGCACAATGGTTAAGTATTTGGCCACCAACCAAAACGATTGGTGATTTGAATCCATCAAATAGCCCATAAAAGACATGCCAGTATGCCTCTGTGAAGATTACAGCCTAAAATCACCAGGATGGGGCCCTTCTCTGCTGTTACGTGGGGCAGCTATGAGTTGATAATTGACTTTATGTCACCAGGTAACAATATCACACACACACACACACACACACACACACACACATTTTATCTCACCCTCCTTGCCTCTAAGGAGACTCCTGGCTGTACTTTTCCCCCAGACAGATGTGTTGGCTCTTTCCGGCAGACCACGGTACTTTCAATACTCTTCTCCAGCACCACAACTCACAAGCATCAATCTTCCTCGTCGTCCTTCTTCAATGTGCGTGTGTAACCCTTGATTCTCACTAAAGTCGTTGCCAGGTGCATTCGACTTGGTTTTGATTTGTAGCAACTTCGTGTGCAAGAGAACAAAACACTGCAGGGCCTACACCGTCCTCACAATGTTCGTGGTTCAGCCCATTGTTGCTGCCACTTTGTCGCTCCATCTTGTCAGAGGTCTTCCTCTTTTTGGCCGCCCCGCTACTTTACCAAGTGCGACGTCCTTTCCCAGGAACCAGTTTCTGCTGATAACATGTCTGAGGCATTCGAGACCACGTGTCACCCTCCTTACCTCTAAGGAGCATTCTGGCTGTACGTCTTCCAACACAGATGTGTTGGTTCTCTCGGCAGTCCGTGGGACTTTCCATAGCCTTCGCCTGCACCATTATTCAAATGCATCGGTTCTTCTCCAGTCTTCCTTATCCAACGTTCCACTTTTACCTGTATGTAAATATCATGGCTTGGGTCAGGCCCACCTTAGTCTTTGGAGTCATATCCTTGCTTTTCAGCATTTTAAAGAGGTCTGACACAGCAAAAGCATTTCTGAGGCTGTAAATCTTTAGAGGTGCAGAGCCTCATCTTTCTCCAACAGTGTGACTGCTGGGTTTGAACCCTAAACCTTGTGTTCAGTAGTCCCACACTTATCCAACAGTGTTCCTGTGTGTGTGTGTGTGAGATATAATATACGTATTTTTGTTACGTGCCCTGGAGCGGGTTCTGACTCATAGCAACAGAACGGAACATTACGCAGTCCTGCGGCCTCCTCTCGTGTTGCTTTGGTTTGAGGAGCAGACAGCGGCCTGTGCAGCAGTGGGGCAGAATCTTGCCTTTCTGGTCGTTCTGTCAAGTTATTGCTGGAACCATTTAAAAATGATCTTCAGTAAGACTTTGCTTGCGTGTGGTACCACATCGAAGTATTGTGGAAGAATTTCTGCCCTCTGCTGGGTCAGCTTTCTTTGGGACGGTCAAGCTAAAAACACCTCACTGGCCTGGAGTCGGTGAAGACTCATGGAGACCCGATCAGACAGGGCAGCACCGCCTCTGTGGGTTTCTGACACGGTAACTCTTTACAGGAGTAGATAGCCTCGTCTTTCTTCCCCGGAGCGCTTGGTAATTTTGAACTGCAACCTTGCGGTTAGCAGCCCAACACGTACCTACTATTCCACCAGGCAGGGATCTAGCTGTGAGGGGCACATATATAGACAATCCATGGATCTCATTTTGCTTGTCAAACAAAAATAGTGTCTTCCAGTACTGGAGGTTAGGTGTTGGAAATTAGGGTCCCAGTCTGCTGATTCCCTTTAAGGCCTGGGAGTCAGAAATTGCTCCGGTGATTTCCTAGCTACGGATGACCATAGCAATCCTTGGCATTTCTCAGCTTCTAAATGGGGTGTTCCAATATTTGCATCCATCTTCACATAGCCATCTTCCTGGTGCATCAGGTGGTTTTCAACATATCGTGTGAGCTCTCGGAATCCAGCAAACAGCTTCATCTGCCCTCTCTCTAACCCATCAGCATAGCACATCCTGTTGGGTGTGAGGCTGAGGGAGGCTCAGAATAACAGAGACAATCGCTAAAGGCACACGTGTGAGAGAGCAGTGGGTGTGCCAAGGCCACGTCTGACATCCGTCTGAACACAACTCCCATGTGCACATGGAAGAGGAGCTGCAGATGAAGCCCAAGACTCTTCTCGGCCTGCGGCCTGATAGACATTGCCTGGTTCTTTGCGCTGAATGCGTTCTAGATGGCTGGAGGTGCCTGGGCTTCCTTGCCCGAGGCAAAGAACCCTTCCCACCAGCAGAAAGGCCAAACTGGAGGCTGTAAAAGTGATGGGGGCTGGTCTGGAACCATGAGCTGCTCACACGGCCTGTGGTGCACGGAAGGACCCTGCCTGTGGAAGCTTGCTCTAGGGGCACCTCTTAAGACCACAACTCTTACTCCGTTCAGAAAACATGAAAGAAGTAACACTGCATGCCTGTCATGGGAATATGTTGAGGAAATCACTGCTGTAATGTGATATAATGACAGCCCTCTGTTGAGTTCTCCTGCGGCGGCAAAAGCCATGTGATTAAAGTCAGGGCTGTGCAGAATAGCGAGGCCAAGGCTCTCCGCTCAGCTCGCATTAGCCGTCTTTTCTAATAGCTGCCTAGACCGGGCTTTCCAGAACCTCAGCGACCTCTCCTTGTCACAGGTGACTGACGGTTAAAGGAGACCTGTTCACCACTGCAGTTGGTGGCAGTGGCCGGCGTGGGGGCCAGGGTGGCTGACTGGACTGAGTGCACAGCGTTGGTGTGAATTGTGTCCCCCTCACATAAGAAAGGGGTGTTGGAAACCTCACCCCTCTGCGTTAGGTTGGAAGCTCATTTGGGAATAGGATTTGCTTACTTTAATGAGGACAACAGTTTTTTTGCACAGGGGCCATGCTAATCTTCTCTGTATCGTTCCAATTTTAGCATAGGTGCTGCCGAAGCGAACACAACAATGTTAATGAAGCAGTCAGTCACAGCCTTCTTCCACAAGGTGGCCGGGGGGTTTGAACATGTATGTCTTTTTGATTCATCGCTGAATGCTCTGAGCACACTCTATCAGAAACAGCCCACCGTCATCAATTGATTTCCAGCGCCTCGGGACCCTATGTTGGGTTTCTGGTCCAACTCCTAGTGACACTGTACAGGCTTTCTGAGGTGGTCCGTCTTTATGGGAGCCTATTTTCACCTGGTTTCACCTGGGAGCAGCTGGTGGGTTTCAACTGGCAACCTTGCAGTTAACAGACCAATACTTCTCCAACTGCATCACTGGGGCTCTGGGTCTTTATCACTAACGAATGCAGAAAGCTAAATGGGTGAAAAAATAGAAACTATGAGAGGAAAAGAACCAGTTTGCTGGCAAGGCCAGTGTGGGGCAGGAAGAGCATGATTCCAGACGGAGAGCCAGGATTACTCGAGAAGAGGAATTCACTGGGGCAGGGCTCAGGGATCCTTACATTGCCACTGAAACTCACTTAGACGAATGGGCCCTGCTTCCTTAGCTCTCTCTGTGGTACCACTGGGTGCAGACAGTTGTCATTCTGAAGGGAGGAGCTAGGCACTGATCATTCCAGTCTTTCTTAAAGCCCCGCTGCACCCCCTGCAAGAGCCCTCTGGTTGGGCCCTTTCTTGCTTCCTAACCCCCTCATCTCCCTCCGTATGTGGTTCTATTGAAGATGATGGAGACTGGAGTAGGCAAACCAGGGAAGCAATTGAATCTTGCATACACGGAATTTAGCTGATTGGTCCCTTACTCGTACTGAGCTTCTAGAAAGAGAAGCGAGTCCTAGGCACTTCTAGCAGAGATAACTTTAGTCGATGCGTCACCAAGTAGGACCCAGGATGTGGGTTCAGAAATCGAGGAGCTATCTCAGGTCTGTGTCTATGCTTTGGAAAACATCTCTGGAAAGCCGTTTAATCTCTGATTTGTAAGGCAGTGCTGACCGAACTCCTCACGAGGCTTAAAACGAGGACGACTTTCCATTGCTGTGTGATAGGGCTACTTTGGCAAGGCCCGAGTACTCTGGGAGGGGGAGCTTTGTCACTGTCAATGTGAAATAGCAACTCTCCTCAGCGAGCTTCTAGAAGACACAGTAGAAACAACGGCCTTGCTTTGGCATCACCTGTGGAGGTTCGCCAATGCTGAGGAAAGGCCCGGGGATTTTCCTGAGCCCGATTCCTCCTCCCTGTGGTCCAGCAGGCAGGTGCTAGCCACGTTCCCACGGGCAACAGCCTGATGTGGCTTTTTGCACGGAGACTGAGCCAGACATCCCAGGTGGTCATAAAAAAGCACAACAGCTGTTCTTGGAAAGACGTGCCCTGGCTCCCGGAATTTGCATGAGTTATAACAGTGATTAGATTAGCGCTGAGAGGCTCAAACTTGAGTTTGCTCCAGAATTGTCTGGGGGGTTGGTTAAACAAAGCAGGGGCCCATCCCCAGAAGATCTGACTCAGTAGTGCAGCGTTGTTGTTTGTGCCTTCCGGGTTGGCTCACAGACCCAAACATAGTCCCACCCTACACCGGCCTCACCACCGTGGGCATGCTGGCCGGTTTCCTGTTAGAACTATTATGATAATGCAGCGATTCTCAACCTTCCTGATGCCAAGACCCTTTAATGCATGCAGTTCCTCATGTGGCGGTGACCCCCGACCATAACATTATTTTCATTGCTACTTCATCACTGTAATTTTGCTGCTGTTATGAATCATAATGTAAATATCTGATATGCAGGATATACAGTGAACCCTCGCCACTTCGCGCTTCGACTTCCGCGGCTTTACTCTATCGCGGTTTTTCCGTAACAGTGCATGCTCTGTCATTACTGCCACTGATTGCCTCATACTGTACACGCTTCTGTCTGCATCGCTACGTATCGGAGCTACATATTAGATGCATTTTTGCTTTTTCGTTTAATAAATTGGGTAATACAAGTGTAATGGTGACTAAAGGGTGTTTTTTCATGTCCTCTATGCTCTAACTACGAAAATATTTGATTTACAAATAAGGAATCCTACTTCGCGGAATTTCATTTATCACGGTAGGGTCTAGAACCGATTAACCACGATAAACGAGGGTTCACTGTATTTTCATTGTTATAAATGAAACATCATGAAAACATAGTGATTAATCAGAAATACAATATGTAACTATATATTGTGAAATATGTATTTTTATTTACAAATCAATGAAATTTTGTCTTGAAGCATGGTGTAGCATGGATCTTCCACGCAGGGTACTGGTTTGTGGGTGTATCTGCATGTGGGTGGACACCATCAGAAATATGTGTTTTCAGAGGGTCTTAGGCAACCCCTGTGAAAGGGTCATTTGACCCGCAAAGGGGCCACAACCCACAGGCCGAGAACCGCTGTGCTAATGCATCTCATCGAGGTTCTCCCTTGTCCTCCTCGGCCTTTTCCATCACCGAACATGACATTGTCCTCCTCCATCAACTGGTCCTTTCTGGTGATGGGTGCAAACAAGTGAGTCGTGTTCTGTCACGATCTATAGGGTTTTCCTGGGTCGATTTTCAGAAGTCAGACACGAAACCATCTTTGCTCATCTGTCTCTGTCTGGAAGCTCCAAGGGATTATGTGGTGACTGCGCTAGTATTCAAAATAATGGAAGCCTTGCTTTCATCCTCACAGAACGCACACACTACCATAGGATGGCAACTTGCCGGAAGTCCCCAGGATTTTGCATTTCTAACAAGTCCCCAGTCGATGCTGACCCTGCTGCCCTGGCACGGAATGGGTTGGGGAACTATTGGGGCCGAGCTGAGATATGGTTTGGAAAGAAGAGACTTATACCTGGAAGAGGGAAGGGAAAAGTTATTCATCACTCTATGTACACTATTCATTTTTGAGCGCCAACTGTGCCAAATGTGATATAAACATCACTGTACATCATCAAAGCAACCACTGCAGGTGGCTTTCATGATTCACATTTACAAAGGAGAGAACAGAGGCACAGATAGTTTAAGCGAGTTACATAAATGCATATACATGGAAAAGCATAGGTGGGTTTGAAAACTCAGAACCATCTGGCTCCCAAGTTCAGGCCCTACCCTGCATGTCATATCATCTTTACACTAGATTTGTGGGGAGGGGCTGGCTTTAACCAAGTGTGTAGAGTGTATAGCCAAGTGTATAAAGCCATGCTGAGTAATTTCATAGAAGAGGCTTCTCTTTGGGGGAGATCTTGCTTGTTACATGAATTACTTTTTGCAATCTAGATCATTACAGTTGGCAGTGGCTGTATCTGCCCTTGATACTGGTTTTCCTAGGGCTAGGCCTCTTCCAGTTCTTGGGGAATGCACCCTGTAGAGACTTCTGGGGACACTGAGGCCCCTTGCTGCCCGCAAGAAGACAAGGCTAATGTCAGGAGTGGTAGCCAGCTCACGTACAAGAAAAACAGATGTCCAAGGGAGTTAGAGTGTCTGTTCTGTGTTTGCAGAAGCCTCCAGATGGTGCAGGACACCCTCTACAAGCTGCCCTTGCTCTCAGGTGGGACAGAGTTTCTGGAGCTCTTCTGGAGCCCAAACTAAGACACCTCCCATTTCAGGTTCCTCTGCTCCTGTGTCCTGTCCATGCAATGTCTCTTCTACACAAAATCAGAAGAAACTGCTGCTGCCTGAGAAACCGAGAATTCTTGTTCTTTTGATGAAGAACTTAAAAATTCAGTATTAAGTACATGTAAATGAAGAATATAACACACATGTCCACATACATGTATCTGTGGAACTTCTCCGCAGGGCTGCAGAGTGAGGAGGGTAAGGAGGGACCCTGACCATTTGAAAGGTCATTGGCTTGGGAGGCTGAGGGCCCACAGCCACATACTTGAAATGCAATAAAAGCGGAGTTTTAAACATGCATAAAAGTCATTATGATAAGTGTATTCTAAAAAAGGTGTCAAAGGATGGCTATGAGGAAACCATTAGGATCAAAACTCCATCTGACAAGAGGAACCAAAATTTGCACACAAGTGTGGGGCTGCTCATTATTGGGTTGGCGGATCAAGCCCATCATCCACTCTGCTGGAAATAAAATGAGGCTCTCTGCTCTCATAATGACTGGCAGTCTCAGAACCCTCTGTAGGACAGCTATGCGGCAGAACGCACGCTGTGGAAGTACATTGGGTTTGGGGCATTGCAAGTAGCCATGGAGGAATACTCAAACCCTTTATTGTTGTATCTAAGACTTCTTCATTGACTCAAGTGTGGTAGACAAGGATTCGGGGAGGAAAAAAATAAAGAATTGATCACGAAGACTTGAATAGAAGTAAGTGAAGAAAATATATATTTTTGACATTGATAACCTTATTGACAATAATCACATGGAAAATGCATGTTTGGATAATGAATATGTTATTTGTTAGACTATAGTATGTTCTTTTTTAAAAAAATTTACTAATCTTAAGCCTTTAAGCAGCTCATTTTCATAGTCACTAGCCAGAGCTATTTACAATGTTCCTGTCAGTCACTAAGGAGCCTGGGGGTGTTAGTAACACACTGTTAACCCTGAGCTGCTCACTACCGGCTCAGTGGTTGGAACACCCCAGCTGTTCTGTGGGAGCCACCTGCACCCACAAACGTTTACACACTCAGAGCTCCTGTGGAAGAGTTCCAGTCTGTCCTACAGAATTGCTCAGAATAAACTTGGTGCCGTTAGGTGGGTTTTGTTTTTGTCAGTAACTAGGTCATTTGTGGGTGGCGAGTCTCGGCAGACTGTTATTGTTGTTGGTAGGTGCCTTCGAAGCAGTTCTGACTCAAAGTGATACCAGGAACTACAGTAACCTGGTCCTGAGCCCCTGTGTCAATCCATCTTGTCCCACTACTTGACCAAGCATGAGATCCTAGGGGCCCACACGGCCCTTACCAGGAAACACAGTTCACAGGAGTAATCCAGCCTCATCAGCACTAATTAAAAAATGGAACTGCCCATGATGAGTAGTA